TCCCTTCTCCAATTACAAAAGGCTTTGTATGAGTTTAGGCATAGGACCGAATGTCTTTTGTAGGAGGGAATATGATTGAAAGCACAGTTGTCAGCCATGCAGGCTTTCCAGTCGGCGAAAAGAGGAGGTGTGAACATGACACGAGATGAGTCGGTAGATTTTTAGGACCCAACAGGTAGGATAAATGTGGATGATCAGACAGGGCGCATTGAGGGGTTGGATTAGGGAGATTCAAGTTCCATCGAACGCTTGGAGGACAAAGACGGGGTTGATGCTATTTAGGTGTTACTTATATGTGTGTTGAGCCTCAGGGTGATTTGAAGTATCGAGAAGCTCTCGACTTGTTAGGTGTGTCGAAGTGTGGGAGCGTTTCTAGCTGTAAGCCGATGTTAGAAATCACAGAACAGTCGATTTACACATGCAAGCACTGAAGCTCGCAATTGGTTTTACGGAAAGGAGCCCGTGCCTCATGAGACTGGTACCGCGGTTAAATATGAGATGGTTACAAGCAATGACGAGAACGACGCAGGCGTTGTTTCTATCATGCTACAGGGTATCAGTATCGGGAAGTAGGAGTAAAGTGAAGTTGGGATTTAGTGCTCTGAAGGAGTATGTTTGACGCCAAGTACCTGCTCACTCACTAGATCTTCGCTACAACTATATATGTGATGAAGGACCATCGTTGACCACCGAGTCAGGCTATCTCGCATAGATTAGGCCTCGCTACCAGCTCTACATTACCCTGAAGTGGGCCGTTCATGCGCATCGCGAGGTGGTTCATTTTCGCAGCAGTATCAAACTAGTGATTGCGCACGCATTTCCTTTTATCGCTGGTCTGTTTTGCAAACACATCTGGCCATCCATCAAGTGGTTAGCCAAAATGGTATGCTATGGTGCATGAACCGACAGGCGCGTAGAAAACCAAACCGAACCCATTCCATAATGCCGTTACAATAAAACTATTCTGTGATAATTCGGAGAATATGGAGACTGGTAATTGGAAGAATAATTACCAGAAAACCTGTCACGGATTGGTACACAGGATCGAGGCTTTTGCTCAAGTTTCCCGGGTCGGTTTTGTTCTTGTCGGTCAGTGGCTGTTGTTCACCTGAAAGGCACAAGTGAAAAAAGGGTGTAGCACTNTTTTGTCTAATGAATGTGTGCCCTGAGCTTGAAAATTTTCTTACTATGGCCCCGCCGGGTGTTTTTTGGGTCAACGGTAAAAAACCTGTTTGCCAAGCTTTGTTCAAACAGGGCGTAAGTGAGAATTAGGTCTCCTCGGAGGCGACGGTACTCCAGGGGAAGGAGATCAAGCATCGCGAAACACGTTTCGTAGTCCTAGAGCTTGCTTCCTAATCCCGGGATGACGACGGTTTCTTCTGATTTCACACGGATTAAATGCCTCACAGGCTTTCTTCAGGGTCTCACCTGACTTTGCTGCTGCTAGTTTCAACTTTGCTCTAACTTCAGCGTGCATTTTCGACAACGGGGTTTTCTGAGTAGTTCGTGGGTTATCCTCTACAGCTTTTTAAAATTATGAGCTCTCAGTGATGTCGCCGAATGTGTACACGAAATGTAATTATCTTCAGCGTGCATTTTCGACAACGGG